TCTGACATCTTTAGGATGCTAGCTATCTCTTATAAACTCACATAGGATCCGTTTGCTTCAGTGTTCAAAATCGGCAGCCCTTGAGCATACGTGTAGAAAGGAAAAAAACTTATTTGCAAAAAAAAAAAAAAAAGAAACAAAGTTCATCTATATTTTGTAATAATTTGATTTTTACTCCAAAACTTGCTTTTTCGTTTCTAAAATGATATATTTCTTATTCTATGATATATAATACTATTTATTTTGCTTTTATTTATTTTAAAACTAATTTAGTTTTATCATTTGTTTTTTATATATGAAATTTTTCTAATTTGTCTTATGTTATATTTAAAGTTTGCACGAAATACATAATACACATAAATAAATACATGTGTGGGTGTTTATTTGTGTTCGTGTCTGTGTGTGTTCGTGTCTGTGTGCATACATCATATGAATATATTTAATATATTCGCCGATACATGCACATGTGCATGTGAGTTTTGATTGTAAAAGATTGAAATCCTTTTCAATTTTGATGTTCGCATGAACACAAGACGAAAGATTATTTTTGAAAAAAAATAAATAAATAAATACGCGAAATACTTGTTCGTTTATAATTGATTTCTCTTTTATAACTAGTACAGGCCCAATGTTATTGCTTTTAGCTTAGTTTGATTTAAACAAAATATCAGAAATATATGCCCGAAATCGGGAATAAATAATGAAAATAAATTTTCTAATTTATAATAATATTATTTTGATAATAAGAAAGGCCCCGAATTCGTTCGTTTTGAAAAATCAAACTAGAACTAGAACTTAGTTATTTATTATTTACATAATTTACATGAAATCCTCCATATACATACAACTATCTATCTAACTTATGAAAATGTTACAAATATATACTTGAAAAACAAAAAAAAAAAAAAAACAATTTTTATATAAACATTTAATAATTTATTACAATTTATTATTAAATAATTGATTGATTCATTTATTTGTTCTATTTACTGCTATGCTTTTTATGATACGATATGGAAAAATTTAGTTGGAGTACTCTTTAGTCGATGCAGGAATTTGCATTCCATTCCCGTTTCTAAGCACTTCTCTCTCTCTCTCTCTCTCTCTCTCTCTCCAACTTTGTTTATCATTAAAATTTTACTTTTTTACATAAAAAGCATTATTTTTGCTTTATTTTCTCAATTTTCCAAACCACTGTCAGTTTTCTTTTGAGTTTTTATTACATTCTGATAATACATAGGATACACAGATAACTGGTCTTGTGATTACTTTTTATAATTAATTATTCATTTAATTTGGTAGTTTGTAATTTGTTTTTCTCTATCCTCGATGAACGAAACGCTTGTTTCATTATATGTACAAATAAACAGTAAAGGGTAGTAGTAGTAGGCAGTACAAGTAAAGATAGGGATCTTTTAATATGCAAAATATGCTTTAAATCTCTTAAAAAATATTTGAAAAACTAAAATATATTTCTTTCTCTCTCTCTCTCTCTCTCTCTCTCTCTCTCTCTCTCTCTCTCTCTCTCTCCGTCTCTCTTCATTTATATTTTTTCCACAAGTCTTTTCATAATTTTAGCTAGTTTCCCCTTTGAGTTAGTTATTGTGCATTGAACTCTTCAAGAGGCGAATATAATACAGAAACAGTTGTTGCAAATACTTTGATAAGATTTTTTACTGTTCATTGTCTTCTGTTGCAATTTAATTGGATAAATTTAATGAAGAATAAATGGCCATCTCATAATAAGTACATACATATTGCTACCCATCATTGAAAAGTATGGACTACACTGATTTTATCGTATTATCTTTAATATAGCACATAGCACATAGCACATAGCACATATATATATTCTTGATCAGTGGCAAATTCTTATCAAGTTATTCGAATTATAAACAGTCGCAGCAACAGTTTTATACAACTTTACAATTAATTTCTAGAAATTTCATTTGAAACTTGAGAGTACAAAGAAAATTTTGAAAATTTGGATTTCTTTATTAAATGATGCGAAAACTTTTTACGAATTTATTGCGATTTTCTGCTTTGGGACTCAGCATGCATTTATCTATGTACCTATATGATGGATGATATCCGAGGAGAATCAAATTTCTTTAGCCCAATTCATTAAACTAAATATTCTCACTCATAATGCTAAGAGTTATCGCAACTGCCAAGTCGACGGGTATTCGTCGCTTTTTTCTCACAATGGCGTCGTCAGCCATCAAATTTACTTCGTATATTTACTGGGTGAATGGATGGATGGGAAGGGCCAATGCAAAAGAATACAAATAAATTTACCGGAGAATATTATTAGAAAAAGATTCGAGATAAAGTTCAGTCGCATACAACTCTGTTTTACCTTTAAAAAGCAAAACAATTTGTTGCGGAAACCTGGAGAAATGCAGAAATGCTCTTAAAAAATTTTACAACACAAGCTTCTTTAATTGAATTCAACAGTAATTTCCGTAACGTGCGTTTGTTGCTTTTGTGTTCCAATAGACAAGTATAAAAAGTTGTTCAAATAATAAGACGGCTTTGTAGGAATCCTTTTGGGAAACTTTTTAATTCTCTTTTACGTGTATTTACTTTGCTCTCTTCTCGTTGCGATAATAAGCGAGCGCAGTTAAAAAAAAAATGTTGAACTCATAGTTGAATGACTTCCACTTAGTTTCCGTTCAGTTCAAGTACAATTTGCGTGCATTAAATGAGTTATAAAGTTATAATCCATTTGCCTTTACAAAGTCATCTAATTTATATTTATTACGTTACGAGGTGTCTTCGAATTTAGGCAACCCTTACAATCGATCTTCTGAATCGATCTATGATTGTCTGTCCATCCGTACGCCCGTCCGTCCGTTCATCTATCTCTCTTCTTTCTTTATGTGCAACGCACATGCCGTACATTTTCGATATACCAAACTGTTTCCCCGCCCAGGGATGTTCACTATTGACATTGATTCGGATTGGACCAAGTCCAAGATTGGATAAAGTCTTCTCGTGAAAAGTCATTGCATGAATAACTGTAGGGTGGTGCGCGCTATTTTATAGTGGGCCGTGAACCGTTATCGCCCTTTTTTTTCGCTTTTATATTACATTTTCTAAACCTGCGGATAAATAACGCAGGGATATGCATTGAAAATCTCGTAATTAGCAAGTTTCGACATTTTATTTTTTTTTTTCCTTTTTTTTTCCTTTTCATTTTCATTCGAAGTATTCGTACTAATGATTTGCTATACAATTTCACATAATATGATGCAAACACATTCCTTTCATTATCCTTCAATCGAATTCGAGATTTCTAAAACATACATTTGTTGTTGTTGTTGTTGTATTAGCAGAAATTTGATTCGAAAAAAAAAAATTGAGTTGATTTTATTTTCTTGCGAAAGCCACTACCATATCATCGCGCACATATATTTCATCTTTCAATTACAAAGTGCTCAGCGGATGAAAAATGTCAAAGTTTTGCAATTCGCAGAAGATTGAAAGAAGATTGAAAAAATGCAGACACCACGAAAGTCGCCGGAATCGAGAGTTTGAAATTTGTGCGAAAACAACATAGCAGCTAAGCAGTTGTAAATTACAATACATTTGTTTGAATTGATGATTTACTGACCCCTATTTACGATTGCTTATCATATATAAAATCTTGTGTGTGTGTGCTCCACTATTTCCCAATGGCAATAACGTTACTATCAACAATTGGGCGAAATATCTTGGCTGACATAATGAAGAAACGCCGTGTAAATGTTAAATACGAGGCAAGTTGACTTGAAAGCCAACAAAAACTCTATTGTTAGTAGTGCCCAATCTATTTGAACTTACTTACGGGAAATGACTATCGAGATCCATAGTCCATAGTCTTATTTTGAACTCAATTTAATCAGTCTAAGACTATCCGTTTCATTATTAATGCTCTGTCGTCCGTTAGAAACAGAACCAGAATTCATGATGATGATGATGATGATGATGATGATGATGATGATGATGACGAGAGAAAATCGAATTCTCAATGCCTTTCTTTGCAATAACTGAATCAGACTGAATAGCGATGTAAATGCTTTGGCAATATCTCTTGTAGATGAAACCAATTGGATAACAAGATAGGAAACGCATCATAGGTTCGATTATTTCATTCAGAAATGAATCTATTTTTGTAGCTTAAATTTATTTTAATCAGGTTCGTAACACATTCTTTTTCATTCAATTTAGTAATAATCATATCTGTATTATTATACGATTCCCATCGGCTCGCCTCTGCTATTTGCCATGCATTTGCTATGCTTTTGCTAGATAAGAAGCTTTTGGGGAACGAAAGCACTTGTTAATGAATAATGCAAAAAATCGAAGTAGGGAAAATAATTTCAGAACTCTTCGAATCGATACTTCATTATATCTTAATTTAATCCATAAAAGTCCTTATAGAGTAACAAAGGGCCTTATAGTGTAAACATTTGCAGTTGGATGTCGTTTTGCGAATTAATAAGAGATTTTCAAATTTTCATTTCTTTCTTTTTTTTTTTTTTCTTAAATCACTTGCATCGAAAAGTGTGTTTGCCTCACATACACATAAATACATATTGCATCGTTATATGCAAATTCTAGAGCCAAATCCAACTAAATAAGAATCTTTTACATCTGATCTATCGCTGATATGCTTATCCATTCGATCCCTATAGGGTAACACGGATAGGCAAGAGAACAGTGAAATTTGAATGCATAAAATATATAAATATTGCAAGCGAAGAGAGGACTATCAAGGAATGCTTATCTTTTTATAAGGGACAAATCGATATTTCTTCAGTTAAAGCTGCGATTGTGTGAGAAAAGTAACATAACTTGCTATCCATTTCTCGCTTGCATATGTAGCTTTATCACGCTCACTTCTTAAATTTAAATCGACAAAAGTAAACCGAGTATGTATGTTAAGTAGATTTTTACAATAATCAAAAAAAATAATAAATACATACATATATATATATATATATATATATATATATATATATAAGTATTAATGTTCCCTCAAGTTTCGATGATGGATATAAAAATCTACCAAAGATATATTTTACATAACCATGCAACAACGTTTTGAACTTGTACTGTCGCTGACTACATCGCCGGTTATACCACTAAATTTATTCATACCTAAATTTCCTGCGACCGTAGCAGCACTCGTTGTCACTGCAGAATTTCCGAAACAATGATCGCTCGCAACTTGTAAGCCATTGTAATCCATTAGCGGGGAAGACTGTTGCTGATGATTTATTGTTACAGATCCATTTGTGCCAACATCGGCATGCATAAGATTGTTGTTATTACTGTTGGTTATATTTCTTTTGTTAAGCGTATTGATGTGCTGCTGACTGTTGCTGTTGCTGTTCGTGGAGGCGTTACTGTTGCCTTTACTTGGGATGTTGGCGTTGCTAGATCCAACGGCGGCTCCTAAAACAGAACCATTTTCACAATTATTTAAAATACCAGTTCGCGAGAGAGAGCGTTGTTTCTTTAAATTGGCCAAAGTCGTAGCGTTAGCAAGTGTAGAGAGATCCGTTAATTGATGGTGATGCGTTGTAGTGGTTGTTGTTGTTGTTGTTGTTGTGGTAGTGGTGGAGGTGGTGGTGGAGGTGGTTGTAGTTGGTAAATGATGTAAATGCAATTGTTGCTGCTGTTGCAGATGATGATGATGTGAATTGCTCGATGTGTCTGTAGGAGTGTACAAGCCGGACACACATACATACATACACAACAGACACACACATACAACAACAAAAATAAAAAAAAATAAAAAAACAAAAACGCAAACGAATTATGCAAAATTAATGAAAAAATGGAAAAGGGAAACAGAAGCAAAAAAAAAACCGTAAAGTCGACAAGGACACAAAAATCAAAAAAAAAATAAAAAAAAAAAAAAGGAAAAAATTTTTTTTTTTTTTTTTGATTTTCATAAAGCAAGGTATGCCGCACAAACATTTACGCTAAAGTCTTGTACATAGTTTTCCGCTTTAAATGCAGAAAAGAGACACTGTTACGTCAAAGCATGAGGAATGAATAATTAAAAAAAAAAAAAAAAAACAAAGAAAAGAAAGCGAAACAACTAAAGGACAACATGACAAAAATATTCCCATTGCCTGGACGTTGCATATAATTGCATTCAACGCCAGCTCGGCATAGAGAGCTTTTCAGTGTCCGATACATCCGATAAATGTATTCTGCATTAATTTTTTCAATCAAGGCGGGATTGAGATTCTCAACATTAACAACCAGCCAGAGCAATGGGCAATTGGACTTGGGGTTATTTTCTGAATTGGATGTAATTATGTAGTTTTATACAATTCGTCACAAGCACAGGCAAACAGACACGTACACCACCATTAAGCGGGATTTGAGATAACAAACAAGTACAAGTACATGCTACTATACCATGTAGGTATTGTTTGAATTGTGTTGTTGTTTTTAGATTGAGTAGCATTGTATGCGAATACTTACCAACCAAAACGGTGACTTGCACATTTATTTTTCCATTCGCGGCCTCTTTGCTCGATTGTATCTGTACGGCGTTCGCGCTTTGACTCGCCAGAGAGCCTGACGTAGTTGTACTAGCAGTTGTCATTAAATTGCGATCTGCCATCATAACCGCTGCTGTTGATGAGGTGCCCGTGGAATGTTGTTGTTGTTGTTGTTGTTGTTGTTGCATTTCATTATTACCCTTAAAAGGCTGCATTTGCAATTCATCATTTTCACGACCTTCTGGCGGGCGTCTTGGCTGATAGGAATGTTGCTGTTTTTGTTGCTGTTGTTGCTGATTTTGTTGCAATGAAAATGCACGAGTCGAATCGACTGCATCATTATTATGATGATTTAAATTTGCGGCATCGTGAAAATTTCTGTGTTGATGATTATGATTAGTCTTAAGTGTATTATTATTGTTATGATTGTTATGAGATGAACTAGCAGATGAGATTGTTTTAGTTAACCAATTACTACTGCTACTAGGACTAATATCGGCGGTCGGATCGTTATAATCGATTTCTATACCATTCGGATCCATTGTAGTGCTATCAGCGGCCACAATAAATACTTCCTGTGCCTGCAAGCGTAATCTTGCCTCTTCGACGGCATCTTTTTTCGTAGTTAACGTTTTATCACGTAAAGATGTGCGACGAACCGATTGTGCTCTATTTAAGTGAAATTCATAGGATAGAGAATAATGTTTAATATTTTATTAAATAGATATACTGACCGGGTATTATTGCTTTGAGATCTACGTACACGCCGCCTTTGGGCTTCCGCTAATCGTTTACTTTCCTGTTCTGTTTTCAGTTGCTCGATACGCTCGCGTATTTCTGGATCCTCGCAAATATCTTAATAAGCAATTTTTTTTATTCATTTATATTAACAATTTTCTATTTGGAAATTATATGAAAAATCTGCACTCACCTGAAGGTGTTTCGTCATCTTTATTTTTAATATTTAAATCAGCACCAAATTGAGCCAATATTTCCAATACTTCCAGCTAATAAAAGCAAAAGTTAACAAACATTTGATATTCATCATTCATTTATGCAAAGGTATTTAGGGAAATAAGTAAAAAATCTAAATGTACAAATTAATCATTTCTGAGAATGAACTCACATGGCCCCAACAAGCAGCCGCATGAACTGGCGACCACATATCTCTATCCAATGCATCCACATTAACGTGCATTTCTAAAAGGAATTCAACAACTTTCATATATCCATTGGCGGCGGCTACATGTAACTGAAATTGATATGAACATATATATAACAGATTGATATTTAAAATATATAACAATGAAGTTGTTTACTGGTGTGGCGCCATGTTCGTCGGGTTGTTCCAGATCACCGCCATTTCTCGATAAATCTATTAAATCTTGTAACATTTGACGCTCGGTGGCCGATCGTGTGTCGTCAATTAGCTCTTGGGTGACACCGCGTTTAGACATTTCCGCTTCTATATAATCTAATGTACTCTCATCATCACATAAATCATACGGCATATTGCCGTCAGTATTAACAGCCAATAAATTAGCACCATGATCGATTAGTATCCGCACCAATTCCAAATGTCCACAAGTAGCGGCAGCATGCAATGGCGTCCATTTATCGCTATCCTGGGCATCAACACTAGCACCATAATCCAATAACAACTTAAGCATTTCGACATTATTATCAATGCAACATTGATGGAGAGCAGTAAGGCCGTCTTCGTTAGCCGCATCAGGTGTAATACCACGCTCTAATAGTTCGGCCACCTCATGCATATCATTGCGCGAGGCGGCCTCCAGCAGTACAACGCTATTCTCAAAGGATATATGTCGTTTCCCCGTCGATGTTGCACCATTGCGAAAATGATGATGGGTCGTTGACATTCCATTCAATATAGTGAGATTAACACCTTTTGCTCTCTGCAGCTTAAGCCATTCCTTTTCTTTTTGCCGTGCAACTTTAAGCTGTTGCGCCCTTCGTCTGCGTTATTGTTCACATTATGTTAATGTTATTATACGTTAAATATAAAAGATTAAAAATATCTCGTTATTATAAGTGAATAACAATAAAAAAAACAAAACAATGAAGAAAAAAAAGAGAAAAAGAAAAAGAAAGTGGAAAAGAAAGAAAGGATTGTTTAGTGTATGTACTACTACTACTACTACTACTACTACTACTACTACTATTACTACTCTTACTACTATTACTACTACTACTACTACTACTAGTGTTACTTACAGTCTTGCCAATTGCAGACGTTCGTGTGTGGGTAGATTTTCCACGGCTTGCATTTCTGCCACAAGGTCGGCATGTTCCATTTTAAGCTGCGATTTGAAGGACTCGTCGGTTTTGCGATTTATTAAAATGCCTTTAACCATGTTGATGATAACGGCTGTTTGTTCAATTCAGCTATTTGTCTCATGTATTATTCTGGTACATGTTGTGGAAAATAACCACAAACAAATGATATGTTTTCTCTTCTATTTTAAGTCTTATAGTGTTTCTGTTATTGTTTTTTTCAATATTGTTGTAGGATATAAAGCAATTTCTTTAATACAAATTAAAACCATTTTCTCTTATAACGAACGGTAAACTGCAATTGAAAACAAATAAAAGAAAATTGAAACAAAAAAAAAAACAACAAATTTTTTTCATATTGCGGTTCGAAACGAATTTGCTATAACCCTTTCCTATCTCTCGTATATATAAACCCATTATATAAAGATCAAGAGACAAAGAAGATGATGCGTACATAACTATAGCTTTACATATTCGTATACCTAGACAACAAGAAACGAAAATTCTTAAATTCCGCGAATTCTCTCCTCATGTCTATCAAGATGATCTTTATCGTATTTTTTGGATGCACTTCCGATGTTTAATTCGTATTTGCGCGAAGCGAACGCGTCAGACTTGCCGTAGCGCAGGGAAGAATTTCAAATATTTTAAAAGCCTAGCGCGGCAGATATTATGCAAGAAGATCGAGAAGAGTTCAAAGGCGCTACAAAATCACAATCAAGCATCGGTCACGGATGCAAAATGTAGCATTATTGAGACTAATTAGCCCCAAGAACGTTGATTCCGACGATTCCGATTACGATTTCAATCGTTGCTCTCAGGCATGACCATGCATTTAATAACAACTTATTTGGAACAGCATTAAACAAACACACGTTAGATAATAAATAAGTGCATCTTCTCAAGGAATTCTCGAGTATTCTCAGTCAGTTTGCGATAAGACGATTAATAAAAGTCCATCTCTGCATAGAATAGAGATTTTTACTCAACTACCTTATATATAATATATAAAGTCTTTCGATATCATAGCTAACGTAACCTTTTAAGAACACATACGTAGACCATATTTTATGGAATGATGATGCGTTTAAGAGTGTCATTATCATCTCAACTACGTGCTATATTTTTGTGTTCATCATTATGCACATTTCGATACAATAAAATGCCCCATGATATTTAAGTCACAAATGACTTGATTATATCCATTAACGTTTCACGCATTCTCTCATCTGCTTTTGCGATTACTATACCGTAGGGATGGATGTCCGCAAAAAATGAAAGAAGACGAAAAATTAATAAGCAAAGTAAGTAAGTAGTAAGAGAGTGTTACTACAACGCGCGTAAAAATCACACTCAACTTAGCACATTTGGCCACACGTTCTCAAGGAGCAAGAAGCTATCTAGTTTTTGATTTTCTGTATATTATCGACATTTTTACGATATCTCTCTCGGTCGTGTTTGGGGTGACGTCATTTTGTAAACTGATAAATTGAAAGTTGAAATTTCTACTGATAGGTTCATACGGACAGACAATAAACGAGTGCACAGATAATGGTATCACTCAGTACCTGTTGTTGCCTTTAGAGAAAGTAAGCTTACTTTCCATCCACTAGTGATGATGAATATAAAATTTTATATACAATTTTTATAGCTTTTATGCTGCAAATTTAATATACGCTAGCTGGTAAAGTACTTCGAGATTTTTCCAAGTAAAATTACTTCAAGTGCGTACACTGGTAAGGAGATTTCTTTTTTCTGTTCGTTTTAATTTTTTTTTTTTTTTTTTTTTTTTTACATCCATGCGACATAGATTGGATTACGTTCATTCCAATTTCGCAACGAAGATCTCTTGAGCTAAGTATATTCCTAATCGTTATAAGCAACGATGACGGTGCATATGTTACGTTCATGCGATAGCTTAGAAAGTCGTCGACTACTTACTTATATATTGCCATATACTACAAGTTGTTGTTGGGTCTTTGTATACTTTGTATACTTACGGGGGGCACAGGATGTTTTTATGATACGTTTACGCTGCTAACATATATTGTTTATGAAAACTAGTAAAACGTGTGAAAAGATTCGGCCCAAGTTAATTCCAATTGTACCCTACACTATTTGTGGTATAGGATATAGTAACTTGGTGAGGACGTATGTAACACACAGAGGGGCTTAAGTTAGATCCATCTATTATTATACCGATCGATTCACAATCGTTTTATGAATCGTTCTAAGCCTGCCTGCCTGCCTGCCCGCCTGATGTCTGTCCATCTAAGTTTGTATTCAAGCTAGTGGTCGCAAATTTTTGAGATATTTCGATAAAGTTTGGTACGCTACGTACGTGCTTTGACCCAACGACCTAAGCTATGGAAAATGGTTCGGTCCACTTTTTCGAACGTCTTCATATAATGCCCTGCTTTGAAAAGTCGTTATATGGAAAAAAATTGCAACTTTGAGAATTTCTCCGCAAAAGTGGCTAAGTAATAGTATTTTGGTATTCGAAATTGCCGTGAAAACTTTGGATTGGCTGGGGCAATTTTTTGAATCCCTTCTCATATAACGTAGACAAAAACGTCCTATTTTCAATGCTTTAGATTATAACAACAATTTACGATAAAAAAAAGTTAACTGTACCTTATTTGGGCCATCTCGGCGTATTTTTTGACTTCTTGGGGCAGAAAGTTGAAGTTTCAAGATTTTGTGATACAAAAATTAACTGAGCTGAATTTTGAATACTTATCTCAATTTACGAAAATTTTTGGGCGTAACCAAGTAAGCCTCTATTTCCAAAGAGCTCTAGTTTGTCATATACAGTTCCATTATAGTAAGTTCATCTAAGGACAGGCTATAATGTTTGTATTCTATGACAAAACTAAGACTTGTGTCACACAATGTGGTGTAGGCCATTTAATAGTCGGCCTAGCCTGACTATAATGTATTCATTTGTTTTCCTTTTATTTTGCTGTCTAGCGCTCCGTTGGGATTGCGAAAAATATCTCATAATTTTGCTCTTCAAACGACTTTACTTAAAGTATTTATATTTATTATTAAGCATTGAAGGAGTAAATAAATACGTATTGTTTAATTTTGATTAGGAAGCTTTTATACATTTGCATAGTTTACTTATGGGATGTATTATTAACGATGTTAAAGATTGAAGAAAAAAAACTAATCGTGAACGCTTCCATTTTCAGGCATTTTATTGGTATCAACGGGAAAAGAATAACAATGCAAATCGATGAGGTTAAAAAGGAAAGTGCGTAACATTAAATGTGTTCCAGTTAAATGCAACTTCTTCTTCTTCTTCTTCTTCTGCATTGCATTGACTATATTTGCGCATTACTATCTGCTAAACTAAGATTTCAGATCAATACTATTATCAGGAAATTTCATTGCATTTGTATATCGTACACTACTTACAGTGCAGGGTATGTCATGTTTGTGCGACCATTTGCAACACTCAGAGGGGCTTAACATAGATCCATCTTTTATTATACCGATCGATTCCGAGTAATAATAATCTGAATTCATCTAACCCTATCTGTCCGTCTCATTTCTGTCAATGTGAAATTGTGTTCAAACTACAGGTCGCCATTTTTGAGTTTTGAGTTGATTAAATTTGGTTCAGTGACGTGTTTTGACCTCGAGGACAAATTCTGTTGAAAATGTTTCGGATAATAATTAACTTAATATATCCTGAAAAATAATAAAAATTCTTGTGGGAAGTAAACTAAGTCTGGTAAATTTCGATTATGTCATGCGATGTTTTAGGCATCCTCCAATATGCGGGACTGTGATGAAAAGTATGTCTATGTACAACAAATCATTTCTGGTGTATAATCAAAAACCAGTGAATAAGTGTGCTCGGCGACCTGGTATAGGGTATCTAATCGTTTTGCTTCTTTTTTTTTTCAGATGCTTTGAATATTGATTGTATAATAGTAATGGGAAGAAGCTCGCCTATCTGAAAAAAAGTTTTTCCTTTGAAATTGAAAATTCTTGTCCATGATTGCAGGGGCTCCGGAACGAGTACGTGTGTTAAATGAATCCCTGCAATTGTAGGCGAATGTTTTTTACTTATTGATTTCTAACTTCTCTAATACGTTATATGATGGCTATAGCGATCGTTTACCTTTATTTAAAAGCGGCGCAACTTTATTGGGATGACAGTGGAATTGTCCAAGGTGTCCAAGAGCGATTCGAAAGTAGTGAGTGTTTTTAGCGGCAAAAGTGTGATGAAGATTTTGGTGTTAATTATGAATTCGGTCATAGAACTGTACACTGCTTTGTTATTTCGCATCACGTAAAGTCGAAAACGTGCCATCTTTTATTTGACACGTACGGAGTACAAAATTTTGCGTGAGACGAGATTGGAGAAAAAGATATTTAAAATTCGAAGGTGCACTTTGTAGTGCTTTTAGGGATGATAGACTAACTGATGGCAAATATTAAGAAAATATACTATAGTCCACAAAACATATCCATAATAAGAGATTTGAAAACTTTAAATGGTGTCTTTTCGAAAAAGAGAATTTTAAAACCGGTTCATAAAACAACTTTACCAAGTTGCATTCTTTTTATTCGAATTTTTTGCAAACGTCTTTAAAATAACATTCCGAAGAACGGTAGGCGGAGAATTTTCGATAACATCCTTCCAATTTTATTTGTCAACGAATTGTTGTCTTTCGTTGTTGAAACTTCAAATCTTGTATTCGAATGCTCGCCACTCATGTAAAACTCAATATCGCCTACGAAGTGCTCGAGCTAAAGTCACGTAGGTTAAACATGCGTTTTCTTTTTTTTTGTTTAGATTTAAATTTGACTGCAGAACTCTTTGGATCACAAAATTGCAGCGCGAGAATGGCTGAGTTGTTGTTGTTTTTTAATAGCTTTCTAAAAGCATTTTTTTGTTACATACTTAACAAGCTGTTTGAATATTATTGCTTTATAGGGTGCTGAAAAAAATCCACGTAAGATAGTTAGCGATCTCAAACACTTCGGCCGTATTTGAATACGAAAAGCCGAAGCATCTCGTGAGAGTATTGTTGAGAGTCCGAAGATATCAATTTGGTATCGTAGTCAAGAGTTGTGAAGCCCACTGCAGTGTATTCTCACGAGAGATTTGCATCGTCTTGCTTACATTGATTCGTCAGTATATTACAAAGCTTACTCGCCTCGCACAGCGACTAGAATTCATTAAATGGATTATAGAACAACAACCAGTGAATGCCGATTTTTCGAACACAATTCGAGCACGTACTCGAGTATGTGCCAGTAAAGTCTTCAAGAATTTTT